ACCCAGATCCACCCATTACCTTATACATGGTGGTTCGATCACTATTGGTCATGCTGTCAGTTTAGACCCAGCTCTGAACCTAGGTCAGTATGTCTGTTATTTGTGGGGACACTACCAAGATGTTTCTTAACAAGGTGTTCTGTTAGGAACCCTCTGGAATGTGCTTGCCTCTTGCATCTGATTGTTTTTGTAATATAAGCCCAGTTCTTCTGTGAGCGGGGCCTTCCTCTTGCTCACAGCTTAACTCTGTTTTATATTAGCAACGTCTTCATCATTGCTGTCTATTACTCAGGCCTGTGATACATGGGCTTATGTTTCAGGGCCTCATCTTACTACATTCCTAAAAGCACAATACATGGACTGAAGGTGACCCAGTAGGCTAAACGCTGCTATGTGGACACCTTACGTTACAGTTCACACATTAATGCCCCATCTGTCCCTTAGTCTGCACATCGTACAACTGATGGACAGATTTATTTGTCAACGGTCTTTAGTCCCAGGGGCAGATGACCGTCTTGCGGGGCCCAGGGCAGCATAATCTTGCGGGGTCCCCCTTTGCCACGGCGCATGCGCGGGGCTTTTTGAAGCGCGGGGCCTGGGGCGGCCGCCCCACTCACCCTGCCGTATATCCGCCCCTGTTTAGTCCCATATGGTTGACCTGGAAATGTGAGGCCCATGACTGAGGAATGAACTTCACGATTAGCCTTAGAAGCATTCCCAAATTAATTAATATCTATAAATAATGAATATGGTGTATATATTTGTAGTGTATATGGGAATATATGTATAGTGTGTATGTGTACATATGACATAACCTTATAATAATTTGGTATTATGATCTGGTGTTGTGATTAGGGATGTTAAGGACTAGTCGATTCCCCCCCCCCCTCCCGCTCCCCTTGATGCCTTTATCAGACAGAGGCAGCAAAAAGGGGGGAAGATGCTACTTCAAGGGGCAGCACTGCACAGCTGAGCCGGGGATCAGATGTGCGGCACTGTCCCTTTGAAATGCTGCCTTGGCATTTCAAAGCGGCAGTGCCACACAGCTGATCCCAGGATTAGCTGTGCAGCGCTGCCATGCAGTCTGGGGAAATGCTGAGCCCGGGATTAGCTGTGCAGCACTGACCCTGAGTTCTGGGGAAATGCCCGGCTCCACATGGTATTTCAAATTGGCAGGGGGGGGGGGGGGCCCGG